CGCTCTTCCTCGCCCTCACCCTTTCTTTCTTGCTCTCAGCAGCGTTTTGATGGCAGAGCACAAGACGCTGGTGAGTCTCCCTTCCCGAACCATTCTCCCCCTTACCCCTTCCCTTAGCTCTGTCTCTCCTCACCCCCATCTCAGAAGTTGGGTGCCAGGCACCCACCAAGTGCTTTCTCTCTGAATGGGGTCTGCTCTCAGCCTCACACGCCCTTCAGCCAGCCTCTGCCAATCCCATGCAGGGCCAGAAGACTCAAACCTGGTCTGGCCCCTGCCCAGGGTAGGGAGGAAGGACGGTGGTGGGGGGAGAGGCCCTGGGACTCCAGGGCCCCCATTATGGCAGCGTAATCTGGCACCAGTCTTAGGAGAACTGGTGTCCAGTTTTGGAGAATCAGGAGGTTTCCTGTGCATTTGAGTCGGACCTCAGAGGTTTTGCTGAGAAGGGTGGGAGGGGACAGGTTGGATCCCAGCAGGAGGAGAATGACGTCCCTGATCATAGGGAGGGAGCCAGTTCTGCTGAGGCCAGCAGTGTCCCCTCTCTTCTCCTGGTCCCCTGGGCTCAGGTACAGGGAGAGAATACCTATTCGACACGCGCACGGGAGACCGGCGCTGGCTCTGAGGTCAAGCAGCTGCTTCACAAACTGCACGGGCTGGGTTTTCTAGCTGATTTGATAATAAACAAAATTACAAACAGAGAAGTCCTGGCCTTCTAACCCACGTGTGGGACAAGCTCTGAGATCTGTGCTTCCTTGTTCTCCCTTAGAGGATGCCTTATCTTGTGGGCACGCTCTAGGGAGCAGTAGGTTATTTTTTCTCTTAAAGAAGGCATTGTCTTGTGCTCTAATAGGACATTCTGCGAGATAAGGGGCTGCTATCCTTGTCACAGAGGAGGGGGCCTCCAATGAGCCTATGCTCCCGGAGGAGGTCACCTGTTTTCCTTTCTTTTTTTCTTTTCTTTTCAGTTTTTGCTATAGGGTGCGTGCATTCACCAGAGAGCAACAGAGAAGAAAAGTGAGAAATCGCCGCCACCCCCCACCCAGGGGGAATGGCCACACTGCAATCCCTTCTTCTCCATTCTCCTCTTGGGATCTTGAGTGCCCACATGTGCACACCATGTTTTTCAAGCTGCGGGGTTCAAGGGCTTGAACTACACGGTTGGCCATGTAGGATCAAGCCACCTCCTTAACCACCATGCCATTGGCTGGCCCACCTTTTCTTTTTCTTACCTTTTTAGTTATTTTATTTATTTATTTAATTTTTTGGAGAGGTTTTTGCTATAGGGTGCATGCACTTGCCAGAAAGACAGAGAGAGACAGAGAGACAGAAAGCGAGAAATCACTCCCCAGGGGGGATGGCCACGCCACAACCCCTTCTCTTCCATTCTCTTGGAACCTTGGGCACGCACACACACGCGCCTGGGGTAAGTTTGAGGTACTGGGTCTGGAACTCAAACCCGCGATCGGCTATATGTGAGTCCAGTGACATAGCCATTACGCCAACTGCTGGTCTCGTTTTTTTTTAGTTTTTTGCCATAGGGTGCATGCACTTGCCGGAAAAAGACGGGGGAGATGAGAAATCACCCCTTGGGATGAATGACCACCATTCTCTCAGGATTTGGGAACACATGTACATGTATCCTGGGTGATTTCCAAGCTGCCAGGTCTGGACTCAAACTGTTGTTGGCCTTGTGGGAGTCCACCACACCACCTGCTGGCCCCCTTGTTTTCTTCTCTTACTGGAAAGAGGATACAGTTGCTTTTTAAGAGCCCCCCCCCCCCAACTTTAGTGCACCATGCCTTCTGTGTCTAGAGGTTTCCTTGGGAAGGGTCTGGAGCTTTTACACTTGAGTCGGGTGTGGTACAAACTTGAGAACCTTGTGGCATCAGTGGTCCTGGAAGAAGTGATGGGAGACCCCTTCTGAGGGATGTTCCCATTTCTTCCTGATCTATTCCTTCGGGTTCCTCTGCCCTCCGCTCTCCCTGTGCTGAGCTGAGCTGAGCTGCTGCATGGGGTGGCCTACAGCAACCCGTAGGAGGCAGGTCTTGTTGGGTGCAGTGCTGGCTCACTCCCCACTCCCAGCCTGGTAATCAGGCCTCAGGCTACCATCAGCTCTCCAAGAAGACCTGCTATCTGGCAGAGGCTTCCCTTACTGTTCCATACCCACGGTATCTCTCTGAACCCTATCAGGGTACAGGAGGACCTCCTGTCCTGGGCCAGTTATGATATCCTAGCCCAGGAGGAAGCCAAGTGTCTTCTGTGGGAAAAACACTCTGTGTCTCCCATCGAATTGAGTGTTAGAGCAGGCCTCGGGCACAGCAAAAGGGGTGGATTTTCCCCGAGGATGAGACCAGCTCTACATCTTCATCTCTAAGAAGCTCAACTTTTACCCTTGTTTTACAGATGAGGCAACCAAGGCTTAGAAAAGCTAAGGCTGGAGAGCCACAGGGTTAGCCAGTCGGGGCATTTGGATACAGCTCAGACCAGGTGACTGTACTGGTTTCCTGCCTCCGAAGCCGAGCCCAGAGTTAGGTGCTCTCTGTTGGGAACAAGGGATGACTGTCTTTTTGGGACTGTCTGGAAGGCAGGTCTTGACAGTCCAGGGCAAAAGATGCTGTCGTAGACGACGCTCTAGACCCGGGCGA